CGGGGCGCAACGATCGTGGGCGCCTTCCTGTCCGATAGGAGAGGGGTTAGGTGATTTGCGCCTTATATGAGCAGTTTAGCTAATGTTCGCGTTAGTTATGAATCCATCGTGCAATTGAAAATAATACATTATGCTGAGCAGGGATGGGCACATTTGAAATGGCACATTTTAAATAAAATGCACTTACCTCTGTGAAATGAAGGAGACGTCAAAGGGGCACAACTCAAAAAGAGGCGCTCAAGCTGGCAGATGTCACTGATTGGTTGATCAATTTTTACCTTAAGCACCTCCCTTGTTGACCCAGGAACGCGTCTAACTCGGCAGAATCAGGACGTGCGTCACGTGATGAACGAACGACTCAAACCCGAAGACTCCAGAGATGAACTAATCAATTCTCACATGGCTTAAGAAAGCTGCTAAAACTACTGTATTGATGGAAAAAATATTGACTTTGATGTAAGGGTTACCTCCTGTGTATTCTTTGAAGTTGACATTTTATGTGTAATTTTCCATTTAAGTAATTTTTTATTTTATTTATGATTTATATTAAAAAAAAAAGATGTTTAACTTTTTATTTATTTGTTTTTGTTCTGTTTATATTTCATTTGTATTATTCTTTATGTATTTATTGTTTTGTATTCTGGTTGTGTATGTATTTTATTGCTATGACTGTATGTATCCCCTGTGAATGTTAATCTTCAATAAAAAAAAGAAAAAAAAAAGAACTAATCAATTCTCTTTCCGGCTCAGACTGCATTGGTTAAACGTATGGGGCTGTCACGTGAAGAACGAATGACTCGAAACAGGTGAACTACTTGATTAGTTCCAGTACAGAACCTATAAGATGTTGCGCATGCGCGACTGAACGAATCACTCCCCGAGACGACTCGTTCCTCCCGAGTCACATTAAAGATTCGTGCGGTTGAGGGAGGAGAGAAAGCCAAAACGGCGTTATGACGTTAACTGGAGGGTGAAATCCCTTCACCCTCCCCCATCATCAGTCCAATGCCCAATTATAAACGCCCCAACATCCACAATTTTGAACAAATCACATACAGTGCACCCAAAATGTTTGTGGACAGTTATGACACAGATAAAGCTGTTGTAACACCATGTATAAAAAAAATCACTGAAATATGTATCAAAGCCACAAAAATATAATATTAAATAAAAAATAAAAACTAATGAGTAAATATAAATAATTGATTGGTGGCTCAACCAATCAGAAAACTTGAAGATCCCATCCTGCCAATGGTGCGAGTATGGGGCAGAACTACACATTTTGCAGAACAATGGAGGGCGTAAATGTATGGGAAACCTGTATAGAACTAATATTTGCTGTTCAATTTGGTTTCTGTGGCAGCAATAAAAAAAAAAACAGCTCTATTTTTTTTTTTTACATCCCAACCAGCCCAAATTATAACTGGACCAGAGGCCTAATTGAGACAGTGCAGATTTACAGTGCACATTTGTGCAGAACACATCTCCAAATTAAGTGGTTAAATCTTATTAAAACAATGCAAATAGATTGACAAACAATAGTTTTTATTTTTCATGAATTGCACAAGAATTTAGCCAAGAACTGTTATGGGACCAAGCATCACAGTGTTGGAGTCTGTTGTATCTGAAAAACAAAAAGAGAATTACTTCACATTTATTCATTTAGCAGATCCATCTATCCCAAAGCAACTTAAAAATAAGGAACATCACAACCAGTTTGCCATAAAGCCAACAATATTCACAGTTTACAGTGGAAGATAGCAAGGAGCAGAGGTTAAATGTAGAAAAGAAGAGAGTTTTTTAGGAGTAAGTTGTAGTAAGTTCCATGGTTTATGGTTGTGGATTAGCAAAGTGTAGGTGGAAGAGTCTTCCTCTGCTTTTTGAAAGTTGTGATGGTCTTAGCAGAAAACGGAAGAAACAATGTACATCACTGGGTATTGCCATTTCTTGGCATGATGTGGCCTAGGTAAAAGCTTACCTCTACTGACTGACCACTTTGGTAGTCTACTCCATTTGCCAGTTTGTTTATGGCTAATGACATCACAAGTATTCTCACAGCATTCACAAACCTCATCCCAACCATCCACACTAAGCCACCTTCAGAAAGCAACAAGTCGACTTAATGAATCAGAAGACATCAATATTAAAGATGTAATCCAATGCAAATACTCAATTTCAAACAAGTTATCTTTTTAATATTTGTTTTCAAGTACCCTAAGGGCCACTTTTTTTAAAACCACAACAACAAAAACTTCACTCATACCTGTTTACAGAATAGGTACAGGCCTTGTTCATGATATTCACCTCCAGATCAACAATTTTCAACTGGCATGTAATATAGATCTATAAAGTACAATTTTTATTAATTTACATGTGCTCATTTAGCACCATTTTTTAAATAAAAAAAACAGCTTCCAAATGGGGAGTGCTACAACAAAAGTTACAGGAAAAATACTTAGTATTTACAATACATTGTTCTACAACACAAAAAGAGTGAAATGTTTTAGTTTATAAAAGGACTCACAGTGTTCCGTTGGTCTTCATGGAAACGGAAAGCATCCATCTGCATCTGAAGCACATGATTTTGTTTTCTGGGCATGAAACGGGCACTGGAGTCTGGCACTTTAGAGTCAATAAGACATCTACAGCAAAAGGGATAGAAATTCCATTTGTTAACATTAAAGTACGATAGTTAATCATAAGTGTGACATGTTGTTTTATGCCACCTCAAGAGAGATATATTGCAAAACGTGCAATTCATTTCAAATCAAGAGATGCAATAACTCCTAACATATAATAAATGAACTGCTCATTCAAGATTTTAATTAAAAGGATGGTTTCTAGGCCAAGGATATTTGTACATTTGTTTATGATATAATTTTCTTGTTTTCATAGCTCTGGAAAATACAGTCCCGTATCCTGACTGACCCGTGGTTCTGAATGAACATGTAGCGGGGCACTGATGCAGCATTAGGCTCCAGAGTGACCACACAATTTTCCATTACTAATCTCAAAGGAGAATGCCCAGCCATTAAGAAGGAAGCCTGGATATTCATCACTTCCCCAAGGTGGTACACATAGGATGACCTTTTAGTCCTCCAATCATCTAAAAAAAAATAAAAAATAAAAAGGTAAAAAAAAATTAAAAGATCTGGGAAAAAAAATGCTTTTTATCTAATCTTGAACATACCATTCATAAGACGAAAGGAAAAACGGATCAATTCCACAGCTGATTTAGTAGATGTAAATGGCTCCCAGGAAGGCTTCACATCAGTACTGCTTACAAAGTGAATCCTGAGATGTAGGTTGCAGCAAATACACAGTAAATAAACAGGAAAATGTATAAATGATGATAAACATATAGCTAAAGTCCAAACCTCTTGTAATGACATTCAATAGGAATAGAAATACTGCTTGTCCTTACAATACCGAAGCTGTTCTGCATTGGGGTGTAGATCAATTGGTTTGAATAAACCAAATGATCTCCTTCAATCTAATAATTAAATAAGGAAAATAGATAAACTTGGTACAAATGGTTTTCCCAGTTCTGAATATGTTGTCATTTTCTTGACATGATAGACTACTTGAGCTGATATACATAGCTAATATTTAATGAATGATTTTTATTATGTTATTATTATTATTTTAACAATTGGAGCAAAATCAAACAAAATCTTACATACC